AGGAAGGGAAGGAAGCTAAACAAAGAAGGGACAGTTTGGTAACATTTTTTTGATTTGAACTTCTCCTTGTATTTCTTATATTATTTAAAACACAGATATATGAACAATACCTGTAAATATATATTAGCTCATTCAGTGCTTGCCTATAATGCACAAGGCCTTATGTTCTATTCCTAGAACTGAAAACACATATGCATGTAATGTCTACATAGCATCAACATACAACATAAATGGTATAATTGTGACAACAAAAACATAAAGAAGGGATTTATAGGGCTATAAAGAGGCAAAAACATTATATTATTGAAAAAGAGTTCATTTTCATTCAAACTAGAGGGCTACAAATTTCAGTTATTAGCTGCTATTCCTAGGATAAGTACTCAAAAAAAGAACCCCCGAAATATACATAAAAGATAATGAGGAAGAAATGAAAATAGCATACTAGAAAGAAATCAAGTGCAAATAGAAGTCATAGGGAGAAACTGAGGAACAAAAAGGATGCAAAGGTAGAAGACCAAGAATAAACAGCGGAAGGGGCTTCCCAGTAATTCTTAATGTCCATTTGAGCTCTTCCGTTTAAATGAATAGGTATTCCGTTTAAATAGATATAGGTTTAAAAAAAATCCAATTCTATGAGATCACATTCTCTCCATAAGTTGAAAAGACAAAGGATAGAACAACATTTCCCCAAGCAAACAGTATAAAAAGGATAGAGTCTGGATGGCCATGCTAATGTCAGAAAAGAGACTAAAAGTCACAAGTGGTTGCCAGATACAAAGACAGACAAAATGCATGGATAATTGCACACACATCAGACACCAGAGTTCCAAGTACTTGGAGTAAACATTAACAGGACCAAAGGAAACTGTCTTAGTAAAAGTTTTCCTTGCTGTGAAGACACCATGACCATGGCAGTTGTTATAAAAGGAAGCATTTAAGTGGGACTGGTTTATACTTCAGAAGTCTAGTCCATTCTCATCATGGTGAGGGGCATGGTGGCACATAGGCAAACATGATGCTGGAGAAGAGCCAAGAGTTCTGCATCTGGATCCTCTGACACTGGTTTCAAATGCTCAAGGTTTCAAATGCTGCATTTGAGACCTCAAAACCCACTCCTAGTAACACACAAGGCCTAAACCGACACAAACAAGGACATACCTCTTAATATTGCCACTCCTTATGAGCCTGTGAGGGCCATTGTTATTCAAACCACCATAAGAATAAACCATTCTAACATAATAATTTCCAACTTAAGTGCTTCACTTTCAATAACTAGACAGAGCACCTACACAGAGAGCCACTTAGGAAAGAGAAGACAATGGTGCAAGCCAGCCAGGCTTATCAGGTCTCTGTGCAGCATTCCACCTCCCACAAACAGAATAAACATTCCTCTAAAGCACACAGGGAGTGTGTCCAAGGAGAAGCCATTTCAAAAGACCAAAATCATGCAAGCATTTTCTCTGGCCACAATTCAATAAAGCAAAAATTAACAGAAGAAAACTGAAAATTCCACAGATGTGTGGAAATCAAACAACACACTCATAAATAAAGAGTCTAAATCCCATGGGGATCTAGAGGCTGGTGAGGTGACTTAGGAGGTAAGGGTGCTTGCTGCTAAGCTTATCACATAGGTTCAACTCTCAGAATCCACAGAGTAGAAAGAACGTCTCTCAAATTGTCCTCTGACCTCCATAATGAGCACACATGCACGCGAGCATGCGCGTGCGCACACACACAAACACGGAGAGACAGGGAGAGAGAGGTGGGGACTCAAATAAACAATAAATAAACAAACAAACAAATGGAAAGTATTTAAAGAAGTCTGTAACAGTGTCAACAAAGTTTAAAAGTCTAAAATTCAGTCTCTTCTGAGATTCATGAAATCCCTTAACTATAATCCCCTATAAATCAAAATTTTAAAAAACAGACCACATGCTTCCAACATGGATATGCATTATTGTTCCAAAATGGAGGAAAGGGAAGGTAATGAGGAAATATTGGACCAAAGCAAAACCAAAACCAGTTGGGCAAACTCCAAACTCTGCATCTCCGCGCCTTTTGTCAAAGCACTCTACAGATCTTCAACCCCTTTCAGCTTTGTTGACTGCGACACACTTCTTTCTATTGAGCTGGTTCCACTCCCTGTTAACAGTTCATCTCAGCAGGAATCTTATGGTGCTGGTATCTCTAACATCTTGGGGTCTCCAGGGCAATCCAAGCATCACCTCACAGTTTCCCACAATGGCGTCTCTGGACCTCCATTCAGTCACACCACTGACACACAGTAGCTTTCCTTAGTTGTAGAGGAAGATCTCATAACCCCTTTCTTCAACCCTTGACTTCAAAGTCAGAATCATGTGATCAAAACTGCCAAGTTCTGCTGCTCCCTGGGGCTGGGACTTGGTCCCTTGTTTAATCACATCTTCATCAGTTTTCTGTTTTCAATTGTTTCCTTCACTGACTTAAGCTTGGCTGTCCTGAAACTGGGTCTATAGACTAAGCTGACCTCCAACTCAGAGATCTATCACCCTCTGCCTTCTGAGTGATGGAGTTAGAGGCGTGTACCACCATACCCAGCTCTAAACTTTTCTTTAATTCTGTTTTATAGCTTGAAAGCTTAGTTGAGTGGGGTCTTACCATAATAAGGTCAGCCTTCCCTTTATTCCGTTTCTTAATCTGTTTATCTCCTTGAACACAGGACTTAGTTCCATTCCACTTCAAGTTGTACATTTTGCATTTTTCCTTGCTCAGTTTGCTACTTTTTATTATAGATCTGTGTAATAGTAGTATGATGTTTCTTACTCTTTTTGCCTCTTTTGGGGAGACCGCCACCCAGCTCCCAAATGAATCACATGGAGTCTTATTCTTAATTAGAAAGGTCTGGCCTTGGCTTAGCTTGTTTCTCATCATCTTTCCTTAACTCATATTATTCTGTTCACCTTTGGCTTCTGGGCTTTGCCCATTCTCTTACTTCGGTAAATCTAACTCTTACTCCACGAATTGCTGTATAGCTGGATGACTGGCCCCTGATGTCCTCCTCCTTCTCTAACTACTTCTCCTCCCAGATTTCTCCTCTTATTTATTCTCTCCACATGCCAGCCCCACCTAACCTTTCTCCTGCCTCACTATTGGCCATTCAGATCTTCAGATCGGGTGTTATAGACAGGCAAAGTATCACAGCTTCACAGAGTTAACAAATGCAACACATCTTAACATGGTATTCCCCAACAGATCTGCATAAGGGTAACCACTAATAACCATATGAAAGTGTCAATACTAGGCTGTTTTGAGATTTTCCTATGCCAGTGGAATTAATTCAGAACTCTTCAGTTTAGCCTGACACCAACAGCCATGCCAAACTGGACAGGGAAAAGCTAACAAGACATCAACCCTACACAAAGAATTACAGGCAACTGCGTAAAGCTGGGAGAAGCTGTCTTCCTTTGGAAAGAACCACACTAATTGGCTGTCCCGTGCCAACTGGTCAGCCCTGAAAATATACATACAAATAACATTATCCAGGCTGAAAAACTTTTATTCCTAAATATATATATATATGTATATGCATAAAATAATAGGGCAAAAAGAGATTATTAAGTTTGAAGATGAGTGAAGAGGGATATATGGGAAGGTTTGAAGGGAAGAATGGGAAGGGGAAGTATTATAATTATCTTACAATCTCAAAAGTAAAAATAAATCTAAAAATCATGATATATATAATTCACCATCATATGTCTCAGGAGAAATGTAGGGTGGGAGGAAGTAGGGTGTGTTCCTTGTTTTAGTTAGGGTTTCTATTGCTATGAAGAGACACCATAACTACAGCAATCTATAAAGGAAAACATTTAATTGAGACTAACTTACAGTTCCAGAAGGTTAGTCCATTATCATTGTGGCAGGGAACATGATTTTATGCAGGCAGACATGGTGCTGAAGAAGGGACTAATTCACAGGCAACAGGAAGTAAGCTATGTCCCACACATATCTTAAGCATGTAAGAGCCTGCCCTCATAGTGACACACTTCCTCTGACAAGGCTACACTTACTCCAACAAAGCCACACCTCCTAATAGTACCACTCCCTGTAGGGCAAGCATTCAAGCACAAGAATCTGAGGGGGCCATACCTTTCAAATGACCACATGGCTCATGCCTATTATCCCAAAGATCATCAGTTCAAGGCCAGTCTGGGCTTTAGAGCAAGTTCCAAGCTTGTGTGGACTCTGTGCTACACAATAAGATGAAATCTCAAAAAAAAATTAAAACAAATTTATAGGTACATTTTCCTACTATTTTTATTTTTTCAAGTTTTTATAAACTTGAAGTCATTTCAAAACAGGAATTAAGGAAAAACATTAATTACCTCTTAACTAAAGCAGCCTTTGTCTCAGTTAAGCCTTTCACCTAAGCACACTCACACTCTTGAAACATTTTCTGCATTATACAGAGACTGATAAACGGAACCACCACCAGTGTCTGTAAAAATACCTCCAAAAACAGATCCATGGCAATGTTACTAAGCAACTAAAGCACCTTGCCCTGACTATATCAAAGACAAAGTCGGATTTTCCTTTTTGAAATCTATTTAAATAGAACTATTTTCTGCACTTCTTTTTTTTCATAATTTTTAGTGTTCAAATCCTCCAAAATCCTTCTCAAGGGTCGATTCATATTTCATCCAAACCGTTGTTTACACAGAGATTACTGAAGATACGAGCCCACATTAGTTTCAGGGAGCAGGAGGGCTCTCAGTCTGGGATGCGTTTGCTCTGGGGTGATCTGCTCAGACTGCCTGCTCCGCGGCTGCCATCATTACACTTGCAGGAGCAGGGGTGGGTGAATACACACATGTGTACACCCAGACACAGATACACCATCAAACAGTAAACTTTTTTTTAACAGAACTTGCCTCAAGTTTATTTGTAAAAACAGCATAAGGTCCTGAACATCTGCAAATACTGTGTAGGTGTTCACAACAGTCCATCTGTCTTCACATTGGCAGACAGAGACCTTTTTTATGGGGCCTTCACAGTGGCCTGGGCACCTTTGGGAGCCTGAGCTGCAGCTGAGGCCTCTGCCTTGGTTTGAACCTTGGCCTTTGTTTTTTGGAGCCTACGACCCCTGGCCCTGTAGCTTCTAATCCACTTCCCAAGCTTGGGGTGAGCGATGAAAGCGAGACCGGTGAGTTTGCAGTTGGGGCCCTTTGGCACCTGGGGCTTCACCAGGGCCTTGATGGCCTCGGCACGTGCGCTCATGGCCTTAGAATTATTTGCCTGCATCTTCTTCAAGCCTTTCTTGTTGTGCTTCTTGGCAAAGCACATGTCCTTCAGGAACTTGGGGTCGACTCCCTTGAGAGATTCGTATCTTTGTGACCGGGGTTTCTTGATGTTTTCACAGAAGGCTGAAGAACACAAAAGTCTTCAGCGTTCTTTCATCTTGCCAACTAACGTTGCCACTGGCAGCTGACTTGGGAAGCTAAAGACCTCTTAATCAGATCAGAACACCTTATGCAGTAAGCTGAGTGAAATTTCAAACTAAAAAGTTCAAGCAACTTTGCCACCTATTAACAGTGATTTTAAATTTTAGATTTAAATATTCTCTATTATCAAAGGCAAATGGTGAGAACAGAGAGCATTTTAAGTTATTTTCTCACAGATCAAATGCATTAATAATTGGAACTGTGCTTTCCAAGATTTGACAGCTGGAGGTTACAAAATTATTGAGATTTTAATTATATGACAGTTCACACCAATAACTCAGTAATAGATAAATAGGAAGGAGAGGAGACAGTTTTAAGTGGGGACCTTCTGAGATCTGACATTCACAACTAACCAGGTACAATGTGGGGTGGAAAGGCCACTTCGTGCATCTTTTACAATAGGAAGGTTAAGAAGCTCCAGCAGGGCCAAGGAAGCAAGACATGATTTCACTTTCCCTTCTATGTGAATGTCTCTCAAACTCTTAAATTCTGAAGTTTTCTTCCTGGAAAATGATCCCTGCTCAGGAAAATTTCATTATAAATGATGAATGACATTTTAGAAACTGGCTTCACTTGGGCTTCCTGCCAGACTTTAGAGAACCTATTATGCCTTCAAAAAGAAACAATAAAATGCCTAAATTCTTGTATGTATATGGTGTAGGTGTGCCAAGGCCAGAAGCTGACATTAAGTATCTTAGACCTCTATCACAATCCATCCTATTTTTTGTACCATTTTACTGCAATGGTCTCCAGCTTCTGTTTAGCAAGATCTCTCTTACTGAACTTGAGGTTCAACTGTTCAGCTAGACTGGCTGTCCAGCAAGCTCAGAACCATCTCTTCCCCATCTTCCTCCCCAAACTGTGGCCATTACAGGCCAGGCATTGCGCTTAGCTCAAAAGATACAGACTCAAGCCCCCCTGCACAGAAAGCAGTAGTCATTAAAAGTCTCCCAACCAGCCGGGCGGTGGTGGTGCATGCCTTTAATCCCAGCACTCAGGAGGCAGAGGCAGGCGGATCTCTGTGAGTTCGGGGCCAGCCTGGTCTACAAGAGCTAGTTCCAGGACAGGAACCAAAAAGCTACGGAGAAACCCTGTCTCGAAAATCCAAAAAAAAAAAAAAAAAAAAGAAAAAAGAAAAAGAAAAAAAAATCTCTCAATCAAAATAAGTCCAGGTACAGATGGTTTTAGCACAAAATTTCTACCATATTTTCAAAGAGTTATTTAATGCTAATACTTCTCAAAATATTTCATTATACATACATATATGCACAGAGAGAGAGAGAGAGAGAGGGAGGGAGAGAGAGAGAGAGAGAGAGAGAGAACATTGCCCAATTTGATTTATGAGTTCCCAGTTATCTTGATACCTAAATCAATAAAGGCCTGAAAAAAAAAAGAATTACATACCAATTTCCCATATGATAGAGATGCAGAGATACTCAATAAATACTTGCAAACAGAATCCAAGAACATCAAAAAGATCATTCACCAAGATCAAGTAGCCTCATCCGAGAGATGCTGGGATGGTTCAATGTATGAAAATCAATAAATGTAACCTACCATATAAACAAACTGAAAGACAAAACCCGCATGATCATTAGAATAGATCATCTCATTACATACAGAAAAGGCTGCTGATAAGTTCAACAACCCTTCATGATAAAAGTCAAGGACATACCTAAATATAATAAAGGCAGTTTATAGCAACCCCCATTGCCAACATCAACTTAAGTGGAAATAAACACAAAGCAGTTCTAAAATCAGGAACAAGACAAGGTTGTCTACTTTTTTTGTGTCTATTCAACATAATACTTGAAATCTTAGCTACAACAATAAGTGAGGGAAACCAAGGGGATACTTATTAAAAAGAAGTCAAAGTATCTTTATTTGCAGATGAAATATAGGATACAAAATTATTCTAAAAATTCTGGTCCCCAATAGAACTCCTACAGCTAACAAACACCTTCAGCAAAGTGGCTGCATACAAAATTAACTCGCAAAAAATCAGTAGTCCCCCTACATACGACAAATAGACTGAGGAAGAAATCAGGGAAACAACACATTTCGCAGTATCCCTAAATAATAGACAATATAATAAGAGTAATTCTAACCAAGCAAGTGAAAGACCTGTGTGATAAAAACTTTTAAGTCCCTGAAGAAAGAAATTGAAGATATCAGAAGATGAAAAAAATCTCCCATGCTCATAAATCAGTAGAATTAACAAATGTCCATCTTACCAAAAGAAATACACAGATCCAATGCAATCCCCATCAAATTTCCAACACAATTCTTTACATACCTTGGAAGAACATGTGAAAAAACAACAAAAACAGATTGGTTAAAACAATCCTCTACAATTTAAAAAAAAAATTCAGAGGTATCACCAGCCCTGATTTCAAGCTGTACTACAGAGCTATATTAATAATAAAAAAACTGTATGGTATTGTCATAAAAACAAGACATGTTGATCAAGGGAATTGAATGGAATACCCAGACTTAAATCTATGAACACTTGATTTTTGATAAAGAATCCAAAAATAGCCGGGCAGTGGTGGCGCACGCCTTTAATCCCAGCACTTGGGAGGCAGAGGCAGGCGGATCTCTGTGAGTTCGAGGCCAGCCTGGTCTTCAAGAGCTAGTAGTTCCAGGACAGACTCCAAAACCACAGAGAAACCCTGTCTCGAAAAAAACCAAAAAAAAAAAAAAAAAAAAAGAATCCAAAAATACACAATGGAAAAAAAGACAATATCTTCAACAAATGGTGCTGGTCTAACTGAATGATGGTACGTACAAGAAAGTAAATAGATCCATATCTATCACCCTGAACAAAACTCAATTCCAAATGGATCAAAAACCTCAACTAAAAACCAGATACACTGAACTTGGTAGAAAAGTAAATAGCCTTGAACTCATTGGACATACCTAAATACACGCACACATACACACAGACACAAGACTTTTAGAATAGAAATGAAACCTCATGAAACTGAAAAGCTTCTGTAAGGCAAAAGACACTATTATTTGGACAAAGCAGCAGCCTACAAAATAGGAAATGTTTTTTTTTCCCCACTCCACATCAGATGGAGGACTAAGATCCAAAATATAAATATATAAAGAATTCAAAAAACAAAATAATCAAATTAAAAAATGAGGTTCAGGTCTAAATAGAGAATTCTCCAGAGAAGGAACTCAAATGGCTGAGAAACAAAGAAATGTTCAACATTCTTAGCCATTAGGGAAATGCAAATCAAACTACTTTTGAGGTTTCGTCGTACACCTGTCGGAATAGCTAAAATTAATAACACAAGAGACAGCTCATGGTGGTGAGAATGCAGAATAAGGGGAACACTCATCCATTGCTGGTGGGAGTGCAAACTTATATATCCACTATGGGAATCAGTGTGGTGATTCCTCAGAAAGATGGTAATCAATCTACCTCAAGATCAGCTATAGCAGTCTTGGGCATATACCCAAAGGATGCTTCCCCTTCCAACAAGGACACTTGCCCAATTATGTTCACTGCTCTTTTATTCGTAATAGCCAGAAATTGAAAACAACCTACGTGTCCCACAACAGAAGGATGGATAAAGAAAATGTGGTACCTGGGAGTTTGACCAGTGAGTACATGGGCAATGCAAATTGGACTTGGTATTTTTTTTTGGGGGGGGGGTCGCAAGGGTGGACGGATATACCTAAAAAGACTGGGAAAGGAATGTAATTGGGGTATCTTATGTGAAACTCACAAATAATCAGTAAAAATACCAAGTTGAGGGAAAAAAAGAAAACGTGGTACATTTATTTATACAATAAAGTATTATTCAGTTGTCACCAAAAAAAAAAAAATCATGAAATTTGCAGGCAAAAAGGTGGAACTAGAAAAAAATCCTGAGTGAAGTAATCCACACCCAGAGATATGGTATATACTCACTTGTATGTGGATATTACTCACTAAGCAAATGATAACCAAGCTATAACCTGTAGACCCAGGGAGGTTAGGTACAGAGGAAGGGACTGGGGGGCAGAGATTAGAGACCTCCCTGGGAAGGGGAAGAAGAGTTTCTGAGTGGGTTGGGGTAAGGGAAACTGGAAAAATGGGAGGATCCTGTGAAAAGGGGAAGGGAATGCAGGGAGAAACAGTTGTAATTGAGAATTTGAGGGTTGATATGGAAACCTAGTGAAGTGAAAACTTCCTAAAATATATGAAGGCAATCCTTTTTTTTTCTTTTATTTTTTTTTTTTTAGTTGTTGAAAAAAAATTTCCGCCTCCTCCCCATTTCCCATTTCCCTCCCCCTCCTCCCACACATTGCCCCCTCCTCCCACTCTCCTCCCCCTCTCCCCCTCCCCCCACTCCATTCCCCCTCCCTCTCGAGAATGAAGAGCAGTCCAGATTCCCTGCCCTGCGGGAAGTCCAAGGTCCTCCCACTTCTATCCAGGTCCAGGAGGGTGAGCATCCAAACAGGCTAGGCTCCCACAAAGTCAGTTCATGTATTAGGATCGAAACCTAGTGCCATTGTCCTTGGCTTCTCATCAGCCTTCATTGTCTGCCATGTTCAGAAAGTTCCTAATGAAGTCTTTAAATAATGGGGGAGAGAGAGTCCCAACTGGCTATCTCTTGTTTCCAAAGAAAGCTTCCAGTACCAGTACTGGGTTATTCAATTGAGTTGTTGGCCAAAGGGGTGCCATGGAAATCCCCAAACAAAATAGGCTGCTCTCCAGAAACTGACAAGGCCCCACTGCTGAACAGAATATCCATACAAGTCATTGAACATGGGGATGTCAAGCTGACGCCTACACAGAACCTTCACCCCTATGTTCTAACATCTTTGGTATGAGAAGATACTTAGTAAGCTCCCGAAAGAAACAACCCAGCCACAAACCCTTTGATCTGCAATGCTATCCTGCCTGCAAAATAAGCCAGGGTAACGGTGGTGGGAAGCTTGTGGGTGACCAGTCAACATCTGACTTGACACACAGTCCATGAGATGGAATCTATAACTGACACGGCTGGGGTGACCAAGAACCAGTGACTAGATAGCCCAGGGACCTAGGATAAAACCAAACACTACTGGTCTCAAAAAAGTAAATCATAAAGTAATAATAAAGTATTCCTAATGATATACTACTCTGCTATAGTAAGACCAATCAATGCCTTATTCAGTCATCATCACGGAAGCTTCCTCCTGCAGATGGAAACAAACCCAGAGACCCACAGCTGGACATTACACACACACACACACACACACACGCACGTATGTGCACGCACACAGAGAGACAGACATCTTGGAACAGTCAGTACTAAATGGGGTATCTCCATCAAATCTCTCCCCTGGAGCGCAAAGAACCCCGAAGAAGAGGAGGCAGAAGGAGTGTAAGAGCCAGAGGGGATGGAGAACACTAAAAGAACAGGCCCTGTGAGTCCACTAAGCACAGATCATATGAACCCATGAGACTGGAGGATCAGACACAGGGCCTGTGTCTGCAGCAGGTCCTCAAAGCTTTCAGTTTGAGGATTTAATGGGACTCCTGTATGCGAAGGAGTGGGTCTTGGAGTCTTGTGCTTTCTTCTTAGCCCTTTTCTATCTGATGGGTTTTATCTTATTACATTTTAGCTTGTTTTAAAAAAAAAATCTTTCTTATAGTCTAAAAGAAATAAAATATATAAAATGTAACAAAAATTCATTCAGGGTTTTAAAATTTTTCTAATTATAGTCATTCATTGTGTAACAAAGATTGTATGTACAAAATCCCATCAAATCACACTGGAGGTAAAATGTCCTACACAGAGTGATGTTATAATGGCCTTGCTCACCTGTGATGCCCCTGATAACAAGAGTGAAGTACTGACTCACAGCAGTGTAAGACTGCAACACAATTAGTACATACATAACACTGACAGTGGTACAGCCAACCATGGTCTCTATTTACTATTTTTGTCACCATATTAAGTGTGTACTCCTTCTACTTATCATCACCTTTTACTGTCTTCATTGCAACAAGAAGCCAAATCAAAAGACTGATTTGGACCCTGCAAGTTTATGTACATGTACTCTGTGATGGTTGCATAATGACTAAATTGCCTAAAGATATACTTCTCAGGACATACGTCTTATTAGGTGATGTAATGCCATATATGCAGAGGGAGAGTGATGTGGGAGGTCCTTCTGTCTATGTGTTGCTTTTGTTGCTTTTTTTTTCAGGTGGAAGAACAGCAACCTTTATTTTGCCCAGCAACCTTTTTTTTTTATTTTTATTTTTTTTTATTTTTTTTAATTAATTTATTTATTTATTAAAGATTTCTGTCTCTTCCCCGCCACCGCCTCCCATTTCCCTCCCCCTCCCCCAATTAAGTCCCCCCCACTCAGCCCGAAAAGCAATCAGGGTTCCCTGTCCTGTGGGAAGTCCAAGGAACCCCCACCTCCATCCAGGTCTAGTAAGTTGAGCATCCAAACTGCCTAGGCTCCCACAAAGCCAGTGCGTGCAGTAGGATCAAAAACCCATTGCCATTGTTCTTGAGTTCTCAGTAGTCCACATTGTCCGCTATGTTCAGAGAGTCCGGTTTTATCCCAGGGTTTTCCAGACCCAGGCCAGCTGGTCTTGGTGAGTTCTTTTATTGGTTAATTGAATAAGGAAACTGCCTTGGCCTGTGGATAGGGCAGGTGGGGAAAACTGAACTGAATGCTGCAAGAAAAAAGGAGTCGGAGAAAAGGCATATAACCCCACCTGAGATGGACGCTGGAATTTTAGCCGGTAAGCCACAGCCTTGTGGCAATACACAGATTAATGGAGATGGGTTAAATTAAGATGTAAGAGTTAGCCAATAAGAAGCTAGAGCTAATGGGTCAAGCAGTGTTTCTGTGTGATTATTTCAGGGCTAAGCGGCCAGGAACTAACTAGCAGCCCTATTCCAACAAAAGAGAGGCCAGTGATCATTTCAAAACATTTACTTCCATTATTACTTGGAAATAATTTTCCCAATTTTGATTTGAAATAGTGTAATAAGACTTTTATTCAAAGTCCATATAAGGAATAATTAAAACAAAAGAACATGTTTGGAGTGAGAATGCTTTAATTATATTTATTTCCATAGAACAATAAATACAGAAATTATAAGCAATGTAAGTAACAGTAATATTTCCCTAGAAATAGACAGCATCTACTTTTATACAACTTAACAAGCAAACACCTTTATTCCCCCAGGAATTACCCCTGGGAAAAGCATTACAACAAAAAAGAAATCACCATTAAGTTAAAAACTATTCATTTTTGAACCTAAGGACTGAGGTTCTCACTCCAGTGGTCTATCAGAGGTGCAGAAAAGTTTAAGAGGTCAGCTCAGCTCCGGGCAGCAGCAGTCTGAGGCTGCTCCGACTGGAGTTGTTTGCCAAGATATTCCCTAGAAAACAAAAACATGGTAGTATGAGAAATTAGGACTTCAATACAGAAAATCAGTAGGCTGAGGCAAAAAGATTGTGAGTTCAAAACCAGCTTGAGCTACGTAAGTCATTTTTAGGTTATATGTGAGAAAGAAATTCAACATGTACCTGCAATATGTATCTTTTGCATAAAATCACACATCACACAGAAACCAGTGAGGCAGAGTGTGGGTCTGTTCTTTACTTCCCACACACACATACACACACACACACACACACACACACACACAAACTGCCCAACTTTTTTTTAATAATCAACTAACAAGGAAAATAAACTATTTTAAATGACCCCTAAATTTTTATTTAAAAAACAAACAAACAACAACAACAAAAAAAAAAACAGCTTGAGTTTGGAATCAGGAGATGGGTTTGCACTCGACTTCCCACTACCACAATTACTGTGAGACCAGAGGGCACATACTTCTGCGAGGACTAAGGCAGACCTATGTGAGGCTCATGGCCCAGCAAGGGAGCCCAGGGTCTGTGTCAGAGACATCCTTCCCGCCTCCTACCGCATCAATTGGTCACTCAATCACTTCTTTTTGTCAGCTCTAACTTCAAAGATTAAAGGATTAGCAGAATTCCTAAAAAGTTAAGTCAGAAACTAAAAAGTCAGCAATTCTGAAATGAGCCTAATTATACCAACTATAGTCACTAGAAATCCTAACAGACAAAATTGTGAACCTCAAAGGCCAAGGGACAGAATTTCAAAATGTTTACACCAGGAAAAGAAAAAAGAAAAAAAATGATGTTTAAAGTAATAAACTAAATATTGTGACTTTATCATAATCTAATACAATATGACCTTAACACATTTATGTAGTCCATAGATACAAAGATGGCAGGTCATTCAGAAACAAAATTAACCCTTAGATATAACTAAGGCAGTTCTAAGAGGAGAATTAACAGCTATACAATCTATACTACAAACTCAGAAAGTCCATAAATAAATAATCTAATGCCACACCTAGAAAAACAAAAACCAAAACCTAAAAGTAGTACATAGGAAGAACTAATAAAGATCAGGGCAGGAATTAATAAAATGGAGAAAAGAATAATATACAGATCAAAGAGGTGGTTCTTTGGAGAGGGAAAAAAAACCAAGATTGACAAATCCCTGGCCAAACTGAACAAAGGAAAGAGAAAATGCAAGTTATATGAAATTAGAGATAAAGGAGGACATTACTACAGATTTCAATGAGGTGGAAAGAAGTATTAGGGAGAACTTTAAAGATACAAAGAAAAATAAAATAACGCAATGGAATGGAATATACAGAAGAAATGTATAAAGCCTAGACACATATGACATACTAAACTTAAAAAGATAAAAACAGCATAGATCCACAATGAGAAATGATACTGAAGCAGTAATTAAAAGTACAGCACTAGATAGACTCGCAGTATCTAAACATCTAAGAAAAATCTAACAGCAACACCCACAAAGCAGGAAGAGAAAAGAATACTACTGAGCTCATTCTATTAAATTAGTACTATCTATCATCATAAAGGTTCTAAAAAGAGTACAAATAGCGCTGAAAAATGGCTCCGTGGATAGGAGCAAACGCGTGTGCATACACACGCATACATGCACACACACACACACTCATACACCCTCTGCTCTCCTCAAAGCAGGCGCATGTTTCCTTGTCCACCACAGGATGCACAACCAAGCTTCCCTCTCCAAACCTAACTAGGGACAGTATGAAGTTTAGCTGCCAGAATACTGGGCCCCTGAGTACTTCTAATTCTCTAATTCAGGGCTGCCCAGTCCCACACATTTTTGTGTAAGAAGGAGTGTGAAAAAGATGTTAGGATCCAACTTGCTTAAGTTACAGTTCTTAGGCCAGGTATGGTTGTGCACATGTTGGTCTCAGCATCCAGATGGCAGAAGGCAGGCAGATTTATATGAGGATAGCTTCACCGACACAGTCAATTCGAGGCCACAAAGGCTACAGCAAGACCCTGCCTCAAAATAAGTAAGTAAGAAATAATAAATAAAGGTTCTTCTGGGTGTCTACTATATCAACAGCTGAGCTATTGTAAGGAGGCTGCTTGTTCGTTTTCTGGCTGCCAGACTCCAGAAATAACCACAGAAACGGTATTAATTAAATAACTGCTTGGACAATTACTTAAGCGTATTGCTAGCTAACTCTTACATCTAGAATCATTATTTATATTTTACTAAAAGGCTCGTGGCCTACAGGCAAGGTTTCAATGTATCTGTCTCTGGTTGCAGCTGCTCCATGGCTTCTCTTGATTTCCCTCTTTTCTCCCAGCATTCAGCTTACTTCCCCCACCCCCAGCTCTGCTCTACCCTATCACAGGCCTATTATTAGTTAATAACTTCATTAACCAATGGTATTCACAGCATCACTGAGCCTATCATTTAATATCTTCTCTGAACTATACTGTAAGTATTTATGTTAGATACACACTGGAAAGTGTATATATGTCAGTGAGCCTGGGAATAAAATAGACTGAGCTAACAGTCTGCCTGAAAGCACACAAACCAGACAGACAGTAAGAGATTTCTGATGTTTTTCGGATAATTAAAATCTGAATCTCCACTTGGACACCTACTTTAACATGCAACAGATTAGACTTCAGTCTCTCCTGGTAAATATCAGTGAGTATTCTAATTTTTACCCACACTGGTAAGCACGGATCTGCCAGGTCAGACCACCAAAATAACATTCACTCACAGTAATATGAAAAAATCTTGTGTTCCCCAGAAAATGGTCAAAAGGGTTAAAATAAATTATGATGGTTAAAATAAATTATGATTTTATAGTTATATATAATAAAGACTCCTAATGGGAATGTAATATAGTTATGTAAAGTTTAGGTTTCAAACAGAATATTTAAAATTTATAAAAGCATAACATATGAACAAATGGCTCTGCAGAGTACTGGCGATTGAGCCTATGATCCCAACATTAAGGAGCCTACAGTATGAGCAGGCTAGGAATTTATGGCCATACAGTGGTCTGTATTAGATAATGAATTCCGGGACAGACCAAGCTAAAGAGTAAGACCCAATCCCTAAATAGATAGATAGACAGACAGACAGACAGACAAATAAAGAAATACTGCGGTGGTGGCGCATGCCTTTAATCCCAGCACTCGGGAGGCAGAGGCAAGTGGATCTCTGTGAGTTCTAGGCCAGCCTGGTCTACAAGAGCTAGTGCCAGGACAGGCTCCAAAGCTACAGAGAAACCCTGTCTCGAAAAACTTAAAAAAAAAAAATTTTAAAAAGAACAAGAAATACATAAATAAGTGGTTTGGTGAAGGGAAAAAGAAAAAAGCAGTGAATTTTGATTTGAAATGTTTAATGTTTATTTTCTTAATATTACGTTACAACACTGAACCACAGTGCTCTGTGAGTAGACAGGCCTATATTTTTTTATATATTTAACTTATTTTTACATCCTGACTGCAGTTTCCCTCCCTCATATTTCCTTCCTTCACCTCCCACCTGT